TTGTCCATGACTAGTTGGGCTTAGAGACTCATGGGTTTGTCACAGAGGGACGATATTTTGTGTGACCTTCGAACATTACCTGAGAGGACCACCAAAAGGTGTTGGTTGGCAGTCACGGGATGGTCTTGATGAAGGCTGCTGTAAGGGTGCCAGTGCTGGCGTCTCCTGTAGCCGTGGTAAGTCCTATTAAGATGACAATAGCCCTGGCCGGATAGCTCAGTTGGTTGGAGCATTGTCCTGATGTGTTAAGGATTCGGGCGCAATCCCCAGTCAGGGAACATGCAAGAATCATCCAATGAATGCATCTATAAGTGGGATAACAAACTGATATTTCACTTTTTCTCTCCCTAAAGTAAATAAATTTAAAAAATAAATAACTCATAGACAGCTGAGAAAATGTATGCTGGGTTCTTGGCAAACTAGAGCCGTGACTGATTGGTAATAGGTGCAGAGTAAAATATACTGGCCAGGTACAGCATGTCAAAATAACTGCTGGGCACATGTTGGAGAGAGTCACTTAATTCCATTATGTGAGGTCTTGGAGCCTTGATGGGGGGACTTGAGCTTGGAGGTTTCAATACTCAATAGTTAAGTGCCATTGTTGGCAGAAGACTTTAAGATTGGCCAAATTGGACTACTGAAGGAGAAATACTGAGAATAATTGTTCCTTCTTTTAGATCTCGAACAACCAGCAGAAGGCCTGCAGTACCTTGTTTCAGGCAGTATTGCGGTGTTTACTACATTCAGTGGTGGGGACTGCTCCGTAGGTCCTCACTTTGTGATTCTGACGAGCAGGACCAAGACACTTACGCTTGTTCCAGCATTGTAGGATGCATACAGCAGCATCTCTGTCTGTAGTAGGAAAGCTCTAAGCGTTAGGAGTTCCCATGATGGGCAGCTGTTTTAATAACGATTGTTGCAATATCCCTGTAGTGTAAAAGGGGTACCTTCTTGAAACTTGAATGGGTTGCCTACAATAATGGTAACTTTGGCTCTAGTATCCAGTAAAGCTAGGCAATGACAGAAAGAGAAAGACAGAGAGAGAGAGAGAGAGAGAGAGAGAGATTGATTTGTTGTTCCACTCATTTATGAATTTTTTGGTTGAATCTTATATGTGCCCTGACTGAGGATCAGGCTCAAAACCTTGATGCATCGGGACGATGCTCCAGCCAAGCTACCTGACCAGGGATTGTGGGGGCATTTGAATGGTACTAGGTCCAAGTCAAAAGAGGGCATCCTTATAGTTCTTGAACACCAGCTATTCAGTTGCTTCAGTTTTTCTGATTCTGAACACACCCTTCTGCACTGTGTTCCTGTGGAACTAGCACAAAGGACCTGCTGACAACCATTTGCATAGGAGTGTGTTGAAGCTGCACCCATTCATGTATCCTTGCTGCTCACAAGGTGCACCCCACAGACCTGGGAGCTTGCCAGGTCCAGCACTGCACAGCAAGCCCTTCTTCATTCTGATCTCTGGCCCCTCATTCTACCACCAGTCCCAGGAATGCATGGCTGGATGTGTCGGATGCACATTTGTGAGGGAGCTGCCTGGTCTCACTGAAGTCTGTATCCACTTCATCAGCCTTTCTCTGCTTTCAGGTCATTGGCATGGAGCAGAGATTGAGCAGAATGTTAACGTAGGAGGAGTGCTCAGCACAGACCGTCACCAACACCAGAAGCTGCACTGTATAGAGAAACCCTTAAGAGAAGAGGGGGGGCAGAGTGAGAAGGACATCCTGACTGGGTCTGGTCTTAACCATCAGGTGACTCACAGTGTAGGGGAGCCACACAGGAACATCAAAAGTCGCCCTGACAAAAGGCATTATAAGTGCAGTGAATGTGGGAAAGCCTTTGGTCAGAAATACTTACTTGTTCAGCACCAGAGACTACACACAGGAGAAAAGCCTTACGAATGCAATGAATGTGGAAAATTATTTAGCCACAAATCCAACCTTTTTATACACCAAATAGTTCACAGTGGTGAAAGGCCTTATAGCTGCAGTGAATGTGGGAAATCCTTTAGCCGCAATGCCGACTTCATTCAACACCAGAGAGTCCACACTGGAGAATAGCCTTTTACATGCAGTGAATGTGGGAAAGCCTTCAGGCATAATTCCACACTTGTTCAGCATCACAGAATCCACACTGGAGTAAGGCCTTATGAGTGCAGCGAATGTGGGAAATTCTTTAGCTTCAACTCAAGCCTCATGAAACATCAGAGAGTTCACACTGGAGAAAGACCTTACAAGTGCACTGAATGTGGGAAATTCTATAGCCACAAGTCAGGCCTTATTGATCATTGGAGAATTCACACTGGAGAAAGGCCTTATGAGTGTAGGGAATGTGGGAAATTTTTCAGTCAAAGCTCTAGCCTCATGCAACACCGCAGAGTTCACACTGGAGAAAAGCCTTTTAAATGCAATGAATGTGGAACATTGTTTAGTGAGAATTCCAGCCTTGTTAAACATCACAGGGTTCACACTGGAGCAAGACCTTATGAGTGCAGGGAATGTGGGAAATTTTTTCGCCACAGCTCCAGCCTGGTTAAACATCGAAGGATTCACACTGGAGAAATGCCTTATGAATGCAGTGAATGTGCAAAATCATTTAGTCAGCGTTTCAACCTGATTCAACACCAGAAAGTTCACAGAGGAAAGAATTCTTGAATGCAACTAATGTGGTAAAACCTTTAACTAAAAGTCTGCTCCGATCCAGTCACAGGAACTTTACAAACCAGTTGGGCCTTAGGAATACAGCGCACATAATGAGAGGCTTCAGCCACAGGCTTAATTAGCCTTGTTCAACAGCAGAAAGTTCAGAGTGGAGACAGGCCTTAGGAGTCCAGAGCACACGCTGCCCCTGGTCAACCTAACCTAACACAGAAGTTCTGAGAGTAGCCTTTATCACTAAGCCAGCAATTGAACATCATCCAGTTATGCATCCTGCGGGCAGGGTGATAAATTGCTGATATCCTGACCCTTCTGCAAAGATAACCCTTCTGCCTAGGAGTTCTGAGAGGGGGAGCCTTGAGTTCTAGGCTGTATCAGTCTGGAGCGGACTTTTCACCTAAGTTTGGAAGGGGCAAGAGGAAGTGGACTTGGTTCAGATATGACCACTTCTTGCTATTCTATATTCTGAATATTAGATTTTCTTGAATAAATATTTCTTCATTTGCTGTACACCCTTAGGACTATTTCCACAGTTTTATTAAGCAGGTGGGAAGCAGGTCCACAAACTTACACTGCCAAGCTGGAAGTTTATCCACATTTAACTTTTTAAGAACTCACCAAATTGTGTTCTAAGTGGTCATGCCTTTTCACATTTCCTCCTGGAGTATATTAGACTTCAAGTTTCTTCACATCCTGCTGACCTTTATTTATAAGACAGAGGCTGTTCATTTTAGCCATTCTAATAGGTGTGTAGTAGTATTTCATTGTTTTAATTTGCATTTTCCTAATCACTCAATATTAAGCATTTTCCCTGGGTTTATTTGCCATCCACTTATTTTCTGTTCATATATCTTTTGCCTACAATTAAAATACTTGTCTCAGCCCTGGCTGGTGTAGCTCAGTGGATTGAGCGCGGGCCTGCGAACCAGACAATCGCGGTTCGATTCCCAGTCAGGTCACATACTGGGGTTGCAGGCCAGTTCCCTGCAGGCCAGTTCCCAGCAGGGGACGCATGAAAGGCAACCATACATTGATGTTTCTCTCCCTCTCTCCTTCCCTTCCTCTCTAAAGATAAATAAAAAAAAAATACTTGTCTCCAATTTCTTAATATATTCTGGAATAAAGTTCTTCATTTGATATGTGCTTTACCAACATTCTCTCACAGTATTTGGCTTTGCTTTCCATTTCTTTCTCTTTTTTTTAAATTCGATTTTACTTAGTTTTAGAGAGAGTGGAAAGGAGGGAGAGAGGGAGAGAAGCATCAGCGTGTGGTTGCCTCTTGTGCGCCCCCTACTGGGGACCTGGCCTGCAACCCAGGCATGTGCTCTCTCTGGGAATCAAACCGGTGACCCTTTGGTTTGCAGGCCAGTGCTCAGTCCACTGAGCCACATCAACCAGGGCATATCTGAGAGTTTCAAAAATATTTCTGGCCCTGTGTGAGTAGTTAAGTTGGTTAGAGTGCTGTAGCTAAGGTTGTTGGTTCAGTCCCTGGTCAGGGCAACCAATGAATGCATAAATAAGTGGAACTACAAATTGATGTCTCTCTCTAATCAATCAAAAAAATTTTTAAAGACTAATGACAATTATATGTATGCTGTTCTAGATTAGGTTGCAGACCAGGAAAAATACCCAGGGATGATATTAGGATGAATGATAGCCTTTGAATGTAGATTTTGCACTAAACAATACTATTTTACCCATATTGAGTTACCTGATCATGCTAACACTCTGATAATTCTGAATACTGTATGCTCTTAGGGAACACACACTGAAGGATTCACTTGTATGGAAGCAAAAATATTTCTGACGTAAACTCATTGTGCAAAAACACATCTGTGGGGCAAGAACGAATGATAAAGCAAAAGGTGCAAAACCAATTTGTTTAATTGGATTAAATTTATACAAGAATATCTTGTACTTTCAACTTTCCTGTAAGTTTGAGACCATCTGAAACATTTTAAATACAGAAATCAGTATGTTTCCCCACTTCACAGAAAATATCTGTCACGTTACAATTCAGAAGATGTATATGATAGATATAACTTCATGTTTGGCTTTTTTTTCCCAGTGTAGAATGGATTGTCCTTAACATCTTAAAAAGAATCTACAAAAAAATTCTACAACATACTCGACATAATGTTATTAAATATTTCCCCTAAGATCAAGGACAAAAGAAAAATTGGTATCTCATCTTGTCCTTCATTACTCCACAGGGACTACTTAGGGTTGAATGGCAGGAAAAAATATAAATACATATATGCATTAGAAAGGAAAACATAAACTCTTCTGACCTCTTCAAAAATATGTGCTAGAATAGTAGTATTCTTATCAGTTCAGATGTAAGTACACTGTGTTGTCATTTGCCTGTCCCCCCATGTTTTTCTTGACCCATTGTGGTCCGTTGTCTTTTCCATAGAACTCATCACCTTCTAACACAGTATGTAGCTTAATAACTTAGGAACATTGCTGATTGACTCTTTTCCTCAACTAGAATCTTAAGTTCTATGAAGGGAAAATCATCGTAATGTTTTATGCATGTGCATCTTATATAGCTAGAAAAATGCCAGTGCACGGAGTAAACGTCACCTTAACTTTATCCATTTGTACCACTCTGTTTTTCATTCTAACTGTACTACTTCACTACAGGTGCAGTACCCTGTGTGCTCTCAAGAAATGATCCCTGGCTGTGTAGCTCAGTTGGTTAGAGCATTGTCCTGATGTGCCAAGGCTGCAGGTTCTACCCTTCCTTAAGGCACATGTAAGAATCAACCAACAAATGCGTAAGTGAAACAACAAATTGATGTTCCTCCCCCTTGCTCTCTCCCTTCCTCTCTTCCTAAAATTAAAAATAAAAATTATGAATGGAAATCATAGCCTGAATGGTGTGGCTCTCAGTGGGTTGGGCATCCATCCTTCTGCAAACCAAAAAGTCACTAGATCCTCAGTTGTAGGCATGCGAAAGGCAATCGATCAGCGTTTCTCTCACACAGTATTACAATAAAAAATCAATATCTCCCTGAACATTGGATAATGACAGTACATGCCGCAATCTGCCAAAATCCTACCCAGTGGGCTTCCTGTAGGAGCCAGCACAGAACTGCCCTTATTGGCCCAAACGTACAGGCCAAGAGTTGTAACTAGAAAAATCCAAAATACTTGAGAATGTATAAACAAAACTGGTATCCATTCTAAAGAGTACCCACAAGCAAATATTTACCAACCAGTCTCACAAACTGTGGTCCCCATACAATGGCTTCCCCAAAGCAGTCACCTGGACTTTATTGCACAGCCCCTTCCAAGACCCTTTTCCTTTTTACCTGGCAGATATGTTTGGGCAGCCAGCACCTTGAACAGGCACGAAGAGGAACAAACTCCCAGTGACTGGGAAACCCCACAGTCCCACTCTTGGTGTTGACCGCCACAGGCATATAGGGTCCCACCAGAGTCACCACTGCTGTTACTGAATAGCGAGCAGGGTCGTGCTGTCTGCTGCCACCCTCTAGGCAAAATTCCAGAAGCAAAGGTTTCATGGTAAAGGAAGAGTCTTTATTTCAAAGCTACACAGTTTTGGAACAACAGTTTTCCACATGCATTAGTGTCTTAAGCCTGTCAGTTAAGGCTAAGTTTACAAACTAAACTTAGTTTGTAACTTAGTTAAAAAAACTTAGTAAATTGTAAACAATTTAGTTTACAAACTAAAACAAGATAGAGCCCTGGCTGGTGTAGCTCAGTGGATTGAACTTGGGCCTGGGAACCAGAGTATCGTTCGATTCCCAGTCAGGGCACATGCCTGGGTTGCAGGCCAGTTCCCAGCAGGGGATACACGAGAGGCAACCATATACTGATGTTTCTCTCCCTACCTCCTTCCTTTCCCCTCTAAAGATAAATAAATAAAATCTTTAAAAAGTTAAAACAAGATAGAAAAGCTACATAATTTTGGAAAAATGGTAGGCTTTTGCCTCGGAGCCTGTCCCTCTAGGACACCCAAAGAATAACCTTGCCACCCTCTGCCAACCTAGCCTGATTCTAGGCTGTACCGAGTTCCTTCTACTGTCCAAAATACCACCCGCAGGCAGCTGCAGCACAATAATCTGGGTATCTTCTCATCCAGGAGTCTTGGAGGAAGAGCCAGTCTCCACCCTCCTTTTATTCCTTGTTCCCAGGAGGCATTCAGCCTCTCTGCCTGCCCCACCCTAGTCTATTTACCATTATCTCAGACAACCTCCTCCTGTGACCTCCACCTTCTCTTTCCCAGAAATCTGATCAGATCTCTCTGTATCAAAGTGACCTGTCCCAGAAGGGTTGCTCACAATGACAATTATGTGACTCTCTGCTATAAAGTCTCAGATAGCGAGATTTTTCCTTTTGGCTTCAGACTGTCCTCCGTAGTTATATCCAGCCTGTCTCCCCAGTAAGTTCTCTGATGCTAACAGAGGCAGACCCACGGGTGACCCGCCTTCTCTCCTTTCTCTCCCACCGTGATGAGGGAGGGCTGACCTTCAGCTCAAGGTACAGTCACTGCGTTCACAGGGCTTCTCACCAAGGCAGCTTCTTGTGCATTTCAGAGCTGACAAAAATCCCCCTCCAACATCTTTGCACTGAAGGAGATTCTCCTCCCACGTGGATCCCCTTAACGGACCAGGAAGGAGCACTGAGCGAGGCCTTTCTCCAGCCCCTGCACTGGCAGGGCTTACCTCAGGTGTGGACCCGCTGGTGCTGCAGAAGGTGGGACCTGCGCTTGAAGGCCTTCCCGCACAGGCTGCATTTGTAAGGCTTCTCCCCCGTGTGGATGATGGAGTGCTGCAGCAGGTATGTGCTGCGGTGGAAGGCCTTCCCGCACTGCGCGCAGACATATGGCCGCTCCCCCGTGTGCACGCGCCGGTGCTGCAGGAGCTCCGAGCGGCAGCGGAAGGCCTTCCCGCACACGGCACACTCAAACCGCTTGGCCCCAGTGTGCACAGTGTAGTGCTGGGTAAGGTGCTCTCTGTTGCTGAACGCCTTCTCGCAGTCCTTGCACACAAAGGGCCTTTCCCTGCTGTGGGTCCTTTTGTGCCGAATGAAGGTGGAGCGGTGGCTGAAGGCCTTCCCACACTGGGCACACTCATAGGGCTTCTCCCCAGTATGGATCGGGTGGTGCTGCACCAGGTAGGACCGGCGCTTAAAGGCTTTCCCACACTCTGGGCAGGTGTAGGGCTTCTCCCCGGTGTGGATGAGGTAGTGCCGGATGAGGGTGGAGCTCTGACTGAAGGTTTTCCCACACGCATTGCACTCATAGGGCTTCATCCCTGTGTGAACCCGCTGGTGGCGAGCAAGGTACCATTTCCTGCTGAAGCCTTTCCCGCACTGCTTGCATTTGTAGAGGTTCCTCCCCCCGCGGATCCTGGGGTCTTTCCCTGGTCCCCGGGAGACTCTCTCCTGTAACATCCTAGAGTGCAGACTGTCATCTGTCCCCAAACCGTTATCTTCAAGGCTCCTTTTCCCACGATGGGTCTCCTCCTGGTGGTCTGTCTCTGGCCTCACTTCCAATAGTCCTTCCTGTTCCCTGGCTTGCTCCAATCTGGAGTCCCTTGACGATTCCAGAGTATGGCTTCCTTGGAGCAAGGCTCCCTCACACAAAACAGGCTGAATGGTGCTTGGCTCTCTGGTCTGAAGTTTTGCTCCATCACCTGAAGAAAATCCAAGGCACAGAGGGTGACTTTTAGTGATGCAATTTGGAAGAAATACAGGCAATGGCTCAGTGGGCAAGTGAAGACAATAATGCCACCTCTGGTGTCTGCTGTGTTTTCCTGTCCCTATAATCTAGGTTTCCAATGACCTTTTATGGTCCTTCTACCCTTGACATCATTAAAGGGAAAATCTGGACAGCAGGCTGGACCAAGGGACACAGGACCTGTCATGGAGACCCCTCCTCATAGTCCAGAGTAGGGGAGAGCAGTTTTGATAACACTGGCGGGGGTAGGGGAGGAATGTGCTCCAGGATTTGAGGTTGACGTCTCTTAGTGCTGTATTGGCAAATGGTACCTAACAAGACTGGGAAGAAAAAGAGGTCACCTTCCTAGAGGTGGTGTCCCTGAGCTGGGTCCTGATGGAGAAATCAGAGTTGCCAGGAAGAAGGAGGGGCACTGGGTTGAAATGGGGAGATTCACCCATGAAAGAGGAAAAGCGCACCAGATACCTGGTGAAGCCAACAGCAAGGGCTGATTTCAGGAGAGGGGACAGAGGGACATGCAGGCCGAATAGTATGAGACGGGTTTCTGCTCTGTGAGGCAATCAGTGTGCTGGTTTAAGAGTGAGGCTCTGAAACCAGAACGCCTGGCTCCCCCCAAGCCCCCACCTTTGTCCAGTGAGCTGATCTTGGATGGATGTCTTTTGCCTGTAGGTCATACTTTCCTCATCTGAGAAACTGATGAGGAGACAGCTTCCCAGGCTGCCATGATGATTAAAGGAGAAGAGTGTTCAGCATGGTTCTTGATGCGAGTGTTCACTAAACTGGGTGTCATCATCCTTGTTCTTCATGACAGTTCATTTTACATGTCAACTTGGCCAGGGTGTCATGCTGAGCTGTTTGGTCAGACACCAGTCTAGATACTGCTGTGAGGTAGTTTTTGAGTGTGATTAATATTTAAATCGGCAGACTTTTGAGAAAAGCAGACAACACTTCATAATTATGTGGCCTTACTTCCAAAAACCCTTCCCGATCCCTAGCTTGCCACCCAGTTTAATGGCCTTATGACTGAGCCCCCCAGGGAGGAAAGGAATTCACCTGCAGACTCCAATCTGCAACACCCACTCTTCTGCCTCGCAAGACTTCAACGTTGCTTTGCCCTCACAATTGCAAGAGCCCACTCTTTAAAATAAAATTCACGCATTCCGTTGGTTCTGATTCATTGAAAAACCCTGACTAATCCAGGGTGGAGCTGAAGTAGGTTTATAGTTGTTCATATGGAAAATACAATAATTAGTAAGTAATAGTACAAGAATAAACTGCACTTTGCGTACTCATAGCTGTGAACCTTCTGCCCCGCCCTGCATGGCCCTCTCGCGGTTGCTGTGGGCAGTGAGGAGAACAGCAGGGCCATCAGCAAGAACAATCATATTCTACAAGCCAAGGACAGGGGCCTCAGTAGAAGCTAACCCTGCCAACACCTTGGTCTTGGACTCCCACCCAGCCCCATGAAATGTGAGAAGATAAATTTGTTGTTCAAGGCGCAGGCATGTGCACGCATGCGCGCGCACACACGCGCGTGCACACACACACACAACATTAAAAAAAGAAAAGGCATAAAATCAATCCACAGAGACAGTGGAGACCACCGCAGGAGAAGCTACAGACAAGGCTGGGGTACCAGGAACCTGCCACAGTTCTGGAAGTATTCTAAATGCTGACTGGGGCAGAGTACATTTTAGTTTGTACATATGTAAAAACTTAGGCTGAGCCCTTCAGATTTGTGTACATCACTGTACACTTCCCATATAAAAACAGTGACGTAAGGAGAGTTTAAAGAATAGGTAGGAAGTCAAGTGTGTATGTCTTTCCCAGAAATGAGACAACTTCTAGGAACTTGGCTTTATAAGTAGAGTCCATGTTGGTTGAGGCTTTCGTAGACCTAAAAACATTTGTGTTCATCTTCTTTTTCCCCAAGTGAAGACACCCTGAGCATGTTACATATTGAGCAGAGAGGATGAAAACAGACAAGGCAAAAAAACAAGTGAAAAACCAAGTTCCCAAGAAGGCAAAGGTGTGGTGTGGGCTCACCAGCTGTGACTGCAGGTAAGACGCCCTCCACAGAGGATGAGAAGGGAAGGCACAGGTGTGAGGCGGACACCGATGAGCCTTTGGGGACTGAGGACCAGGAAGCAGAGCCCATCACCTTTACTTTTAACATGACGTTGATAATGTGCTAAGACCCCAGTGACACAGGAAGCAGTGAGGATTTGGAGCATGTCTGAATGGCTGCAGGGGCTGGTGCAGGAGGAAGAGTAGATGGAGACCTGCTGAGGGGTCTGGCATCATCCAGGTGACATGTGATAGGTGAAAGTGGTGGAGGTGACAAATTCAGGAGACATCGATAATGTCAATGGGCCGGAGTGGGGAGGGGCGGCTGCTGGGTTTGATGGAGACGGAGGTGATGAGATGCTTCCTGTCTCACCTGTTGGGATGGCAGGACCTTCTCTGAACTTGGAGGTAGGAAGGAGTGGGCATTCTCGTAAGTGTCTTCTAAGGTCGGATGAGCCTCAGACTCTTGAGGGGAGGTTGGGGGTGGCACCTGGAATGGAGGGCTGAGTGTGGGGATGGCCACAGACACTCACAGGCTGGCTGAGCAGCCTGAGGGCCACCAGGGAGGACACGCCATAGCTCACAGTGGCTGACTCCAGCTACATTCAGAGCGCGGATGTGGACCAAACGTCACCTTGCTGTTTCTTAGGGCAAACAGGACAGGAAGATACAGGGCAAGGGGCTGATTCTGAGTGTCTACAGGATGATGGATGAATGGATGGAGAAGGCGGGAAGGAGTGTGATGGAGAGCGATACGGTATAGATCGTACTTTCAGGGAGAAGACCGGCCCCTGTTCCTTTGGGTCCAGAAAGAAATGTGCAGAATCCCTATCACTCACGATTAATGTAAACAGGCCAGGCACTGCACTGGCATCTCACTACGACCTCCACCCACTCAGTCATTCAGGAACCGTGACCACTAGTTTTCTGAGAGTAGGCTGAGCCGATCCAGACCCAGCTGCTGGCTCTGCTCCTGGAACACACCGCTACCTGCACTCCCCAGTCCTGAGCGCCAGTGTGGCCGAATGCCCAGATCTTGTCCACAGGACGTGTGCAAGTGCAGCACGTGTGCACGCCAGGTGTGACTACCCACCCCCGCCCCATTTCCCCTCTGCTAACTGCAGTACGACAAAGTAACCTCAAAGCTACATGGTGACACTGGAAGGTGCCTGGGTCTCCATAACACTGTGGCTCATGGCTGACCTGCTGAAACGCACTACCTTGATGTGAGAGAAACAACCAGAAGCCCCAGGAGGTCACAGAGAGTTTCACACAGGAGTTTAGAGGCAGTGGTATTCTGAAGGCTGCTGTGATCTCGCCTTGTTGCTCCTACCTGGACAGGTGCCCCGTGGGGGGCCTCTCTTCACCGTCCGTAGCTCTTGTCCGTGCTCCAGCAGGTGGACCAGCTCTGGCCTGGGAACGGGATGCCCTGTGAATGGAGAAAGAAACCAGACATGGGTGTTCTGCAGAGAAGGAAGCCCCTCCAGCGTACCTGGCACTCCATGACAGGATAAGCTGCTGCTCCCAAAGTAAAAAAGAAACTGATGTGTGCCCTGGACACCAAAGGGACAAACCCCACTCCTGGGCTGCAGCTGCTGTGGAGAGTGGCGCCATCTGTCCCCACAACAGCACTGCCCTTGAGCTTCACCAGCCAAAGCCAAGATGGTTCAGGTGCACACCACTTTCCCATACAGCCAGGGGGCACCAGGAAAGGGAGCCCACCTAATAATCCACCTAAGTCCCTGGTTCTTCAGAACCACCAAGGGAGGCATGATTCTAGTCTCAGCTGAAAGAAACCCGATCACTTTGGGTGAGGCCCAGGCATCAGTATTTGTGCAACCCCCAGTAGGCAGGGGACCTGGGCCGGATCTGCATTCTAAAGAGAAGGCTGGGAATCCTGTGTGGGAGGAGAGGGCTGAGCAAGGGGCCCACTGCCTCGGTCATAGCCACGGCCTCCAACATCCCTGTCCGGACACATCAGGGGCCATTCCAGAAAAAGGAACAGAGAGAACCTTCACACCACTGCGTTACGTGCCACCGAGTACATCTTAGCAGAAGCCAAAGGGTTCTGTGAAGAAGCCCATTCACACAGGTCTTGGCCACAGTCAGTGACGCGTGCTGTGTGCCTGGCACCAACCTCAGGGAGGGGGCAGGACAAAAGGTGGCGCAGACATCCCCTGGCTCTGCCAGCTGAGCCCACTCCCACCTCAGGGCCTTTTCTCACGTTGGTTCCTCCACTTGGAATGCCCGCCTCCCCCACTCCCCCCAGTGAGCTCAGCCTCCAACTTACTTCCCTCAGATGCCTTTCTGCAAGCGCCCAAGACAGGTTATGACCCCTGGTTACAAACTCCTAAATCCTCCTCTGTTTTTTTTCTTCTACAGCTCATCACAATTCACCTGAGAACTGATGTCTCCCTTCCCACAGTGTGCCGTCATCATTACTGATGGTTTCCTGTTAAACTGACTCACTTTTCATTGTTCTTAAATGTTTTATTCTAAAAGGAACCCTGGTTTTCTCTAGCAAATGAAAAATGTCGATTTCATGTCCCACAACAGAAGATTACCATCAAAACACAGCAATGAAATCAAAACCGTGCCACTAAGTCCCAGGGAGCTTGTGTAGACGCTCAGAGCTGGGAGCTGCAGGCTGCTTGCTCCCTTGAGAAGAGTAATTAGTCACGACGAGAGGTCAAAAAGACTCAGCACCGATGAGACTTTCTCTTGACAATGACCAGCATGTGGGGCAGAGAAGGTGAGAGGACCAGCTTTTTCAGGGCGTCCACCCATGACACTCCCAGACACCTAAATCATCCGCTGAGTGGCTGGGTCTCAGGAGACATGACGATCATGCAGATGCCAGGGGCCTGTGTACCAAGGTTGTGTTGTTTAGAGGACCCCTGGGTGGCACTGATGACAAATGCCATGTGGGAGTCTGCCTGATTTAACCTCTTCTGAGAATAGCGCATCTCGCCGGGCCTTGCTAACTGGGGACACTTGACCCAACCAGGTTGGGCCGGTCAGCTGTCCCTTCCTGTGCAATCTGGGATACAGACCTCAGACGGGCCTGAGTGTGCTGGACACCGGGGTGGGGGTGGGGGTCCAGAAGGACACTGTTTCTACCCAGCGATCCCTGATGTAGACACAGGCAGACCAGGCAGCAAGAGGAGGGAGGGATCAGGAAACTGCAGGGACTATCAGAAAAAGAGAAGGTGGCTTCTGTGACCTTCTTGACCAGCCAGAAATCGATGGTGGGGTCCCCCACAGGAATGAGAGGTGAGCACTCACCCAGAGACACCAGGATCCTGCAAGTCTCCAGCATCACCTCCTGGTACAGGGTCCTCTGAGTCGGGCCCAGCAATTCCCACTCCTCCCGGGTGAAGGTCACAGACACATCCTTGAAGGTTACTGGTGCCTGGAAAGTCAAACACAGTAGCATCATCATGTGCCCTGGGGTTGTGAGATGAGATCAGAGTCTGTCACTTAGTCACTGGTGAAGGTACAGAGAGACCCAGGCCTTGATCACCAAGGCCTTCTGAGGGCTGAGCTCTGCTGGGTGCAAAGGAGGGGAGGAGGAGGCCTGTGGACATAATGCAGCTGTGGCCGAGAGAAAAGCCCGACCTGGGGAACCCACTGCAGGTGCCATTCCCATGAGGACTGTGGAGCACACAGTGAGTGTTTTGGTGGAAATGAGCATGATGATCATTTCAGCAACAGAAACAGCAGCAGCCGACCTCTGGAGACCTCGCTGCCCACCTTCCCCAGGCTGAGAACTTCACATGCCGAGGCAGAGACTGTCCCAATCTCCGGAGCCGGACTCCCAGGACTGAATCAGACTACTGACTCCGAACGTGAGAGGGCATCACCTCACCTCTCTAAGCCTCAGTTTCCCATCAGTGCAGTATCGTACCCATCACACCAAGCAGCTCTAAGAACTGAAGGGGAAGCGTTCACTTGGCAAACAATGGGGAACCTACCCAGGTGAGTGTTCAGTGCATTTTGTGACTTTTACTAATCTTCCCACGGCCCATGAGGTAAATGCCATTATCACCCTCATGTCACAGTCAGCAGCTTGGAGCTCTGGCAACTCTAGAAGGCCACCCGCAATCTAACTATTAAGGACCAGAGGTGGGTTTTAAACATCTGACAAAAAATGGCAAAGAGCTGGAGCCAGGGGTACCTTAGCTAGAACTAAAACAGCCAGGAAAAGACTAACCTAAGAGGTGACACAGATGCACAGGAAGGGTGTAGAGACCTGGGGACTGGGCCCCAGAGAAAGAAGAGTGCAAGGGCAAAGACTGCTGAATGGGCAGGACTTTAACAAGCTCAAGGCTGCCTGGGTGGATGCCCTGAGCAAGGTAAGAAGAGCAGAGGTGGTCACAGGGCACATTTAGGAGAGCCCTGCAGATCACAATGGGCAGTTTTTATTAATTATAAGAGTGATGGGAGCCCCTGAGGGGGTGACCCATTCATTCTTTCAACCCTTTACCCAGTACCTTTGACAAGCCCAGGCTGTTCTAGTCTTGGCATAGAGCAGCAACAGGAGCTCACCGTCCGGGCCTGGAAAAAGGACCTAACAAAGCAGCTAAAGAAATGACTAAGTCAACCTCAAAGGGTCCTAAAAATACCAAAGAAAAGAAGGGAGAGGAGACTGAGGAGATCACAGTCCACTTTAAGTTGAGCAACACGGAAAACCTCTTTCCGGAAGGTGTGCTGGAGTGCGAGGCTGACATAAAGTGAGACAGGGCGCCTAGGGACAGGAAAAGAGCCAGTAAGACAGGTCCTGACAGTGATCCGGCTCTGATGGGGACACTCAGGATGTCTGACAGTTACCTGGGGACTCTTGTGCATTTGCGTCCAAAGGAACATCACACTCCTGCACATTAACATTACTGAACATTTCAATGGGATCCCTTCTCAAACCCAACTGAATGTCCTGAATAGGAAAACAGATTCTTTGCATCAGTGGAAAGTCAGTTCCACGTGCTGAAAGCCAAAAGGTAAACTTGCCCTCCTGGCTCCCAGCTGCCTGTCAGTTTCTGACCTTGCATAACTGCAGTTCCGACGCGCTACGCCTACCTCTCCCCTACGCAGCCTAGTTTGTGGGGGCTGCCGGCGCGGGAGGCATCTCCGAGGAAGCACAGGTCCAGGCTGAACACTGGGTGCATCTCACCCATGTGTCCTTTCTATTTCCCTCAATCTGGATGAAAAACCGTCAGTATCGCTACTATTTCATACCTGAGAAAACAAGCTCAGAGTAGCGAGGGTGTTGTTCAAGGTCACAGCCTCCGTTAGGGGCGCAGCCGGACCCACGAGGAGGTCTCCAAGGCCCGCGCTCCTCCTGGCGTGCTACACGATGCACGCGACGTGAGGTCCGGGGAGTTCCTGACGCTGCATGACACTTCCATTCGGTATCCCATTGGGAGCAGAAACAGGACTCGACCCCAAGCAATCCCTGGACAGGACCCGGAGCCGAGAGAGACTCAATCCCGGGGGCACGACGGCTGGAACAAGGCCAGTAGTCACCGGACCCGCCATCCCCAGAGGTCCAGGGGCCCGGGGCCGGTCCACTCACCTGCACCGATGCCATCAGGATAGGCGAGGGCTCCGGGGCCCCGCGGGGTCAGCGAAACGTCCCCCAGATCCCACGAAGGCGCGGCAGTGGCCGTCTAGCTCGGATCCCACAGATAGCCACGATGTTTTCAGACACCCAGCTGGATGTATCGGAAGTTCCGCCCCTGCCAAACAAGGGCCCCCACGCTCCTTCCGTTAATAACCTCGACCGGGCACTCAGCCTTCTGGGTAATGTAGTTTTTTTCCCCTGCATCGGCCCAAGCGAGGTAAGCTCCTCCCCTACTAGGAGCTAAGCTTCAGGAAGCCCGGGGAGGAAAGCTAGTATAGGCTCCAGGCAGGGAGGACCTTGGGATATTCTCAAAGGGGATGTACCCAGATACCCCGGTTGTATGTACACGTCCTAATAATAGCCCTTCTAGGGGTCCTCTCTCTCTGGGCTCTCTTCCTGATTGTTTGAGCCCCATCCTTTGACACTGATCCCTTCTGCCCCCTGTGGTGGAGTGCGATGTCCTTATAAGAGACCTTCAAAAGTCCCCTTGCCCCTTCTCCCAAGTGAGGATCCACAGAGAAGGAGACTGTCAGGCTGTCAATGAACGTGGAAGAGGGCTCTCACCAGACAGCAAATCTGACAACTTGATCCTGGATATTGAGCCTCCAGAACTGTGAGAAGTAAATTTCGGTTACATATAAGCTACCAGTCTAGTATATTTGTTTATAGCAGCCTGAACAGACTAAGATAGACAACAATTCATTTTAAAAATCTTAAAACTTAACTTAAAACCTGGCTGGAGTAGCTCAGTGGATTGAGTGCGGGCCTGAGAACCACACTATCGTTGTTCGATTCCCAGTCAGGGCACATGCCTGGGGGTGCAGGCCAGTTTCCAAAAATTCCCAGCAGGGGGCGCATGAGAGGCAACCATACATTGATATTTCTCTCCCTCCTTCCTTTCTCGCTCTAAAGATAAATTAAAAAATTTAAAAAGTTAAAAATAATATGTATGTACCATCCCATTAAAATAAAACACTCAATCTCCCTGAGTCTCAGTGCCTTCATCCCCTTTCCAGTCTAACTCTGGGGAAACTTGAAAAACAAAAACGTGTAACTACCTGACATTGAAGGTAAAACTCCTCTCACCCTGACATTTCAGGTAGGAATGCTTCTGGTTCAGTCGCCCCTGCGCATTTTTACATGGCGGCCCCTCAACCCGTCATCCTCTCCCACCTCCGTCACACGGAGTCACCCAGGAGCACCTACGACCATGGGTTCTCGTGAATAGCGCCCTGCCCCCAAGGTGGAGTTCGGAGAGCTGAAGGGGAAAGGCCTTGCACTCACTTCAGCCAGGCCCCTCGGGGTGGTCTCCGCCATCGTACTCTAGGGGAGCCCTTCCTGAGAGACCAAATGGTGAGCAGTGGCCACTTTAGAATATATGCGAAAACGCTCTGCTTCTGGGCCTTCAATTGGTTGCACCGAAATGACGCGCGGCACAAAGCATTGTGGGTGATGTAGTTCCCCTAGCGCCATTAACGTCCTGTTTCTGGGTGTTTATTGGTTACACGTGAGCCTCTTCTGTTCTAGCGATTCCCAAATCTCGGAAAATTAGCAAGTTTGTGACACTCATGTATGACACATAGTTTGACCAGAGTTTATGTTACTAATGTTAATTTTTACATTCCCACTTAGCGTGAATGTTGTTAGATTTCACTGCGGAAATGGGAGTGTGGTTAATGATGGTTTCTTGCTCCAGCCCAGTGGACTTACTACTCTTTTGTAGTAAGTATTAGAGAGCTGGAGGGTGAAGATGCCATCAGAGATCCATCAACGGGCAGATCTTATCCAATCATGTCTTTAATTCCAACACTGACCCCAGTCCCTATATAAAAGGGAGGAGCCTTGGGAAATCACGTCAGATGAACCAGTTCAGTCAGCCAGTCAGCAGCTCAGTGTTTGATCCAGGATTACCCAGTTGGAAGTTCGGTCTTTTCAAAGAGGTGAGTTTCCAGAAAGAAAGAATAATTTCTAGTTTTGCTCTTGTGTTTTGTGCATGTGCGCGGAATTTTGTGGTGAAGATTCCGAGGTACAAAGATATGCGGCCTTTTCAGGAAAGGAGTATCGTCTACCTTGAACTGCTCTGGCCTAAAAGGGCTTAATGTTGTGGATTCTGTGTAAAGGCCTGGCCTGATAGTTTTCCTGAAAAAGTGTTTGTATGGCTATGTGGGCTTGTTAATTGTATGTTTCTAGTAATTCATTTTTATGGCTTCTTGGGAAAGTGTTGGTCTGTGGCCTACTGTGGTGGGGGTGGGGGCTAAAATTCAAAGCTACTAGCTGAGCCTTAGTCAAACATTAACTCACTGAGCTCCACCGACAACTCCGGGAACTGGGTGTGTTTAGAACCCTGTGACATTGATGGCTCCCGGTGGGTACCTGGTCTGGGTCAGACAGCTGGTTCTACATTGGAAACCTGGGAGTCTAGTTTTTAATGCCAAGGTTTTTACCACAATGTTTCACAGCTGTGTCCCTGTGGGATGTCTGTAAATGTGACCAAGTGGTGGTCTGTGTGCATCTGGAGTAGTCCTGAAAAGAATTTGTGGGGAGGGCCAGAGAAAGAGTGGGGCACAGAAAAATAAAAAAGGCCAGTATACCTGGAAGTAGAGAACCAGCACAACACCTAAGGTGGGGGGAGGGGTGAGACCAGGCCTAGGCAAGGCCCCTAGTACCTGGGAAGGACTCAGTACTTTTCCCTCAGGGCAAAGGAGAGAGCAACTCGCAGGATTTAAGAAGATTAGCATTAATCAGATTGAGGTCACCTGGAAGTTTAAAAGAGAAGACTGTTGCATTTTCTCTGGGATCCTTTGGGATTCATCTTTGCATGTTATTAATGGGGTAAAGTTGCTTAATCGTATCAGACAACCAGGTGAGATTAATTAACAATAAATATTAAACAACTAATTGGTTCCTTTTCTGGGCCCACGTAAGACTCCCACGGTTCCCTCATTCTTTCTGTTTTTATGTTATGAAACTAAAAAAGGCCCTTGCCGGGTGGTTCAGTTGGATGGAGCGTTATCCCAATATGTCAAGATTGTGCATTTGACCCCTGGTCCGGGCACATGATAGTCAGCCAATGAATGCATGAATAAGTGGAACAACAGAAATCAATCCTTTTTCTCTGTCTCTCTCTTTCTTTAAAATCAATAGTAAATTTTTAAAAAATTCACCCTGGCCCAATAGCTCAGTTGGTTAGAGAGTCATCCTGATACCACAAGGTTGCAGGTTCAATATTGGGTCAGGGCACATACAAGAATCAACTAATGAATCCATAAGTAAGTAGAACAACAAACCAATGTTTCGCTCCCTTCCTTTTTCTCCCTAACATCAGTTTTGATAAAATAAAATAAAACATAAATGGAAAGATTTAACTTTGACAAAAGTAGTGAAGCAGAAAGAAATGTTCTCAAGGAAAAGTAACTCCAAGGAGGAAAGAACACAAAATGGTGAAGGAAAGTTTCCTAAGAGATCATAGGACTAACAGAAGTAGCTGCAATGGACAGACACATGTCTGTGCCTGAATTAGAGTTTTCAGCACAACTCATTTGCATGGATTTCAGCCCATCTCTTCTTATTCGTTTTTCTTTACTTCTTCTAATACTAGATTTTCTTACATTAATTAAAAGAATATAAGCCCTGGCTGGTGTAGCTCAGTGGATTGAGCGTGGGCCTCTGAAGCAAAGGATCATGGTTCAATCCCAGGCAGGGCACATGCCTAGGTAGCAGGCCAGTTCCTAGCAGGGGACACATGAGAGGCAACCACACATTGATATTTCTCTCCCTCTCTCCTTCCCTTCCCCTCTCTCTGAAAATAAATAAATAAAATATTTAAAAACAAAGAATATACTGTACACCATTCATTGCTTTCATTGAATGGCATCAAGTCAGTGTTATATTTTTCACAAACCCAATAACTGTGTATGTCTTCATCTCTATTGGGACACTGTTTTCTCACTGTATTTGTTAATCTTCATGCCATTAGGATACTATCTTCAGTATTAGCAGAGGTCGAAAAATTGACTTGTGCTAATTATCTGGTGGTGTAAACCCTCTAAATTTTTTCTTCAGAAATATCTTATTTAGCCCTGGCTGGTGTGGCTCAGAGGATTGAGTGCCAGCCTGTGATACAAAGGGTCGCTACTTCGATTCCCAGTCAGAGCACATGCCTAGGTTGCAGGCCAGTTCCTAGCAGGGTACACAAGAGGCAACCATGCGTTGCTGTCTCTCTCCCTCTCCATCTGTCTAAAAATAAAAGTAAATAAAATTTAAAAGTGCTTTTTTAAAAAATATATTTTATTGATTATGCCATTACAGTTCTATTTCCCCTCTTCATTCCCCCTACCCTGTACACCCCTCCCCCACCATTCCCGCCCGTTAGTTTATGACCATGTGTCTCAAGTGCTTTAGATTCTATATTTCCCCTACTAGTCTTGCCCTCCCCCCTATCTATTTTCTACCTACCGTCTATGCTACTTATTTTCTGTACCTTCTCCTCCTCCCACTCCCCTGTTGCTAACCCTCCATGTGATCTCCATTTCTATGGTTCTGCTCCTGATCTAGCTGTCCTCTTAGTTTGCTTTTGTTTTAGGCGTGGTTGTTAATAACTGTGCCTTTGCTGTCTTTTCACTGTTCATGTTTCTTTAACTTCTTTTTCTTAGATAAGTCCCTTTAACATTTCATATAATAAGGGCTTGGTGATGATGAACTCCTTGAATTTGATCTTATCTTGGAAGCACTCTATCTGTCCTTCCATTCTAAATGAAAGCTTTGCTGGATAGATCAATCTTGGTTGTAGGTCTTTGGATTTCATGAGTTGGATTACTTCTTTCCAGCCCCTTCTTGCCTGTGTAAGGTCTCTTTTGAGAAATCAGCTGACAGTCTGATGGGAAGTCCTTTGTAGGTGACAGTCCCCTTATCTCTTGCTGCTTCTAGGAGTCTCTCCTTCATTTCAATCTTGGCTAATGTAATTATAATGTACCTTGGTGTGTTTCTCCTTGGGTCCAACTTGTTTGGGACTCTCTGAGCTTCCTGTATTTCCTGGAAGTCTATTTCCTTTGCCAGATTGAGGAAGTTCTCCTTTATTATTTGTTCAAATAAGGTTTCCACTCGTGGCTGTTCCTCTTCCCCTTCTGGTACCCCTATAATTCAGATGTTGGAGCATTTAACGATATCCTGGAGGTTGCTTAGCCTCTCCTCATTCTTTTGAATTCTTGTTTCTTCATATTTTTCTATCTGGTCATTTTTTTAAAAAATATTTTATTTATTTATCTTTAGAGGGGAAGGGAAGGAGAGAAGGAGAGAAACATCAGTGTATGGTTGCCTTCTGTGTGTCCCCCCCTGGGAACTGGCCTGCAGGGAACTGGTCCGCAACCCAGGTATGTGCCCTGACTGGGAATCAAACCGCGATTGTCTGGTTCGCAGGCCCGCGCTCAATCCACTGAGCCACACCAGCCAGGGCACTGTCTGGTCATTTTTTTTCTTCCTTCTGGTCCACTCCATTGATTTGAGTCCCAGTTTCCTTTCCATCACTATTGGTTTCCTGTGCATTTCCCTTCATTTCAATTAGTTTAGCCTTCATATGTCCCTCTAATTTGTGACTAAAATCAACCAGTTCTGTGAGCATCCTGATCACCAGTGTTTTGAACTGTGCATCTGAAATTTTGGCTGTTTCTTGGGCGCTTAGAGCTATGGGCTCTGGGGCTCTGAATTCTTCTCGAGCCATATTTTTGTCTGTTTGCACCTGTTATGTGTATGAGGAGGGGAGCCTTAGGTGTTCACCAGGGCGGGACAACTCAGTCGCTGGGTTATGACGCTGTATGTGGGGGCGGGGTCAAAGAGGGACAATAGCATTCCCCTCTGCTGCTTCCTGTCGCTGGGGCCTGCGCAGTCAGTCTCACTGTTCGCTTCTTTGGCCGGTTTATCTGCGTGTGAATGTGTGACCGGGGTCAGCCTGCAGCCTTGTGCCATTAGTGGGTCTACCCACTGCTAGTCCACACCTGGGATCCGCCCACGGCTGCCTGCATGCCTGGGTTGAGCCTGGATCACGTGCCTGGGTCAGTCCGGTGGATCTTTCCTACACAACCCCTCTTCGCTGCTGACTTTGCCCCTCTTACCAGTCTGGCTGAAAGGTTCGTTGTTGTCAGACTTCCATATAGTTCAATTTTCTGTGGTTTTGCTGTGTTTTTATTGCTAAAACTTTGTTGTTTTTAAACTTGGTTGTGCAAGAATGCACGGTGTTTCCACCTATGCCTCCATCTTGGCGGAAGTCCTTGATTTTGGCATCGTGAACTGTATCAGGCACCTTGCTATATTCACCCAGTCTAATATGTATAAAATATTTTGGATTTTTTCTTTAGACAAAATTAGACCATCTATAAATAGTAGTTGACACATTTTCTGATTTTATTACACTGGTTTAGGTACCAGACAGATGTTGTACAGATTGATAATGGGCTTCCATCTTTGAATCTCAAGGACAAAACATATAAGAATAATTTTTTTCTGTAGTTACTCTGTTTCTTGTATACTAAATGTCTTTCTCAGCATTGCATAGTGACTTTCTTGAGCATATTTAATATATCTACTAAGATACATTATGTTCATTCCATTCTGATACAAAGGTAAATCATACTGCTTTTTGAAATTTAATCCAACTTGCATATAAAGATAAAACCTGTCTATTCATGAGTGTTTTCTTTATGTATGACTGGGTTTGATTTTCAGATATTTAATTTAGGATTTTTGTGTCTATACTGGTGAGAATTATTGGCCACTATTGTTCCTTTCCATAATGTACTTGTAAGGATTTATTATCAGGAAATCTGATTAATTAACTCCATTAATTAAAAGAGGATTATCTCTGCTCTCAGAGAATTCAGGTAAGAATTAACATTATTTCTTTCTTTTTTTAAAAAAATTTTTTATTGATTATGCTGTTACAGTTGTTCTATTCCCCCTTTCATTCCCCTCCACCCTACCCCCCCATCCCCACCATTACCCCCCCTTTAGTTTATGACCATGTGTCTCAAGTCCTTTAGATTCTATATTTCCCATGCTATTCTTGCCCCCCCCCATCTATTTTCTATCTACTGTCTATGCTACTTATTTTCTGTACCTTCTCCCCCCTTCTCCTCCTCCCACTCCCCTGTTGCTAACCCTCCTTGAGATCTTCTTTTCTATGTTTCCACTCCTGATCTAGCTGTCCTTTTTAGTTTGCTTTCATTTTAGGTGTGGTTGTTAATAACTGTGCCTTTGCTGTCTTTTCACTGTTCATGTTTCTTTAACTTCTTTTTCTTAGATAAGTCCCTTTAACATTTCATATAATGAGGGCTTGGTGATGATGAACTCCTTGAATTTGATCTTATCTGAGAAGCACCTTGTCTGTCCTTCCATTCTAAATGAAAGTTTTGCTGGATAGAGCAATCTTGGTTGTAGGTCTTTGGATTTCATGAGTTGGATTACTTCTTTCCAGCCCCTTCTTGCCTGTAAGGTCTCTTTTGAGAAATCAGCTGACAGTCTGATGGGGACTCCTTTGTAGGTGACTGTCCCCTTAGCTCTTGCTGCTTCTAGGATTCTCTCCTTCATTTTAATCTTGGCTAATGTAATTATGATGTGCCTTGGTGTGTTCCTTCTTGGGTCCAACTTGTTTGGGACTCTCTGAGCTTCCTGGATTTCCTGGAACTCTATTTCCTTTGCCAGATTGGGGAAATTCTCCTTTATTACTTGTTCAAATAAGTTTTCCACTGGTGGCTGTGCCTTTCCCCCTTCTGGTACCCCTATAATTCGGATGTTGGAGCATTTAAAGATGTCCTGGAGGTTCCTAAGACTCTCCTCATTTCTTTGAATTCTTGCTTCTTCAATCTTTTCTGTTTGGGCATTATTTGCTTTCTTCTGGTCCACTCCCTTGATTTGAGTCCCAGTTTCCTTTTCATTGCTATTGGTGTCCTGTGCAATTCCATTCATTTCAATTAGTTTCGCCTTCATATATTTGTCTAATTTGTGGCTATAATCAACCAGTTCTGTGAGGATCCTGATGACCAGTGTTTTAAACTGTGCGTCTGAGAGTTTTGCTATTTCTTCATCGCTTAGATCTATGGGCTCTGGGGCTTTGAGATCTTCTAGTGACATTTTTGGTCTGTTCTGGCCCTTTAAGTGTGAGAAGCGGCGCCTTGGACTCCCAGGTCACTGGATTGTGACGCTGCATGTGGGGGCGTGGTCAGAGCGGGGAAATGGCGACCCCCTCTGCTGTTTCTCACAGCTGGGTGAGGATTAGTGTCTTAGGGGGTTCACCAGGGCCGGGCCACTCAGAGTCGCTGGGTTATGACGCTGTATGTGGAGGTGGGGTCAGAGCGGGGAAATGGCGGCGCCCTCCACTGCCGCTTGCCGCGGGGACCCGCTGGGACCGGTCGAACCGCCCACTCCCTCGCCTGTCCGCCCGCGCACAAATGCGTGACCACAGTCAACACGCAGCACTGCTCCCCCACTGTCTCCGCCGAGGTCCTTGCCTGGTTGCTCGCTCAGTGGCTCACTAGGTCCAACCCTGCGCCTGGATTCCGCGCGCCTGAGTCCGTCTGACCAAGTTTTCCTGTGCAACCCCGCTTCACCAGCCGCTGGTTTCACCCCTTACCGGTCAGGCTGAAGAATTTGTTGTTAACGGACTTGCGAAAAGTTCAATTTTCTGTGTTCTGGCTGTGTTTTCTGTTGCTAATATTTAGTTGTCTCTAAACTTGGTTGTGTGAGAAGGCACGGCACATCCACCTATGCCTCCATCTTGGCGGAAGTGCTGTATATTTCTTTCTTAAATATCTTATAAAATCCACAAGTGAAATACTGTGTTTTGCCTTCTATAATGTGCACCCACTTTTTGTGCATTGTATATGAGATTATTGTACTTATAGTAATTATACCCATGTATAATGAGCATCCTTATTTTTCCCTAAAAATATTGACAAAACAGTATGCATAATACACAACAAAATATGGTGATCTGAGCCTGAAATTTGTGGGGGCGACTTCTCTCATGAGTCCCCCTGGTGCCACAGACAAGCATGAGTGAATAAATGTGGCGGAGAGATGCTGAGATCTGTTTGGGGTGGAGAAGGTAGGCTGTGGCCAGTTTCTCAGGGGAGACAAAGGCCTCGAGTGTCTTTCTTCATAGCCTTTTATTGAGTTGTAATACACAAGAATACAGGGCGGCAAGGATCAAACAGTAGATAACATTACAAAGAGATCTGAGGGCTTCAGAGTCTGAGCCAGTGTCTGTCAGGAAGAGAATTGCAGAAACTTTGGGAGATATACTCATTTCCTCTGAGACCCTTATCATATGAATGGAAGCACTCTTAGTAGAGCAGATTTCACAGGTTTATCAGTAAGTCTTGGTGATGCCAGATTTTCCCCAGGACACACTCTAGCAAGGCAAGGAGTTGTACCTCTCCCCAACAGGTATTCAGGCTTAAGGGGATTAGAGCCAGGAGGTGCTTCTCCCAGAGGACATGGGGACTCGGGCTTTTACAAAGCTAGGGGGTGAGAGTCCATTGCTTTTTGTTGCAGCCCCCCCCCCAAGTCCTTCCATGAAGGCCTCCCAAGTGATTGATCCAGTCTGCCTTAGGTTGCCCCCCACTGTGAGGGGTCTTACCTGTCATTGACTTCCGACCAAGCTTTGGGGGCAGGGAGAGGAACTGAGGCAGCATTTGCTACCAGGGACAGGCTTTGTCTCCTGCGGCTCGAATTCCAAAGGTCGTCTCTCGCCCTTAGCCACAGGGGTAGAGATATAATTCCTAAAACTAGGCAGAGTGGTCTACTACAGAAATTTATCTTTTCTTTAAGTATGCCGATGACAATTAAATACATGTCTCTCATCTCTCTCTTATTTCTAGCTCACAGTCTTTTAGACATCCAGCACTATCAACACAGGTGTTCAAGAACAGAATCCTAAAAGTTGAGTCTCTGAGAAATATCGCAAGAATGGATTTAGACCTCAGCACTTCATTTTTCTGTGAATCATATGAGGATGACTGTAAGTCAGAAAATGTGGACTTTATACCCAGCCAAAGACCTGCTCTCCAACAGGCAGATGGGGACCCTGGGTTCCAGAACACTCAGCTCAGCCCATTTCAGAACAGCACTAACTTGCGTGCAAGGCAGGAACTGCAACAAATTTCTGAGTCATTTCACTCATGGCTGCAGCCAGAAAAACACAGCAAAGATGAAATTATTTTTCAAGTGGTCCTGGAACAGTTCATGATCAATAGGCACTGCAGTGACAGGTCTATGTTGAAGGAGAAATGGGAGGCAAGTGGCAGAAACCTGGAGACATTCATGGAAAGTCTGAATGATGATTGCATGAGGACCCCTGGCTTGGTGAGTGGAGGGTTCTGACCCCTGGGGGGAGGGGCAGAAGGGAGACAGAGTAATTACAATCTGTTGGGGGAGCCCAAAGTAGAGAAAGAGTTACTGTACACCTAGTTATTAGTCCTCACGAGGGGAATCTACCATCCTAAGTAAGCAAGAATAAAGAAGTCTTTTAGGCATTAATTCAGTGGGACATAGAAAAGCCAACATTAATTTCTTGTGATTTTCATTGGTGAGGTGGTAGGAGGACTCACTGAGAGACTGTCACTTAAGCAGAAACTCAAGGATGAGGAGAAATGCCTGAACATGAGCTGGTTTTTCCCTCAGAAAGCCTGGGTCTTTTTTCATTAGGAATGAAGAAATTACATTTAAATATAATGCGAGTAGAGCTATGGGCAGAACAAAGAGGAGTAGGATCCCACAGTATAGAGATTTGGGAAGACTGACTGGGTAGGTTTCCCACACTGTAGACCCCCTTTTTTCTTTTTTTTTTAAACAGGTCCACGTTCACATGCAGGGACAGGAAGCCCTTTTTTCTGAGAATATGCCCTTAAGAGAAGTCATTGTTCATTTAACAAAACAATTAGCAGCAGGAACCCCAACAGTGGCAAACATGGGGACACCCTTCTGGACTGCCTACAGTGGTTATCTGCAAACAGGACAAGGTGAGTGAGGGGGGCCCAGGGACCAGAGGGATGTGCCATGTAAACTCTTTCTTGGATACAATTTGCTCAGTCACTTCTTTATACTCACAGGAGATGAGGATAAAGAAAATGGTGGCAACATTTTGAAACCTACTGAAGTAAATGACAATATTACTGGTGAAGGCCTTCAAATACCTCCCCTGCTCATTATCCAGGGAGAGAACTATCCTGGGCCTGGTGAGGGCGATGATTCTTTGGAGAATCCACACAGCTCCAGAAGAGTGAGTCTAAGCCCCTCTAGGTCCGATGAAGGGTCCCCAAAAGGACCCCGTAATCAGGATGTCCTCATGGAGGTGGGACCAGCATTTCTCTCCAGGCTGCACCAGGTCACCCCTGAACCGGATCCTACCCATCAGAGTAATGCCGGAAGCTCCACATGCGGGGTACTCCAAGGAAGGTCCCGCAAAGCCCAAAGATCACACCAATGTGACAAGTGTCCCAAGATCTTTAGATATTTCTCTCGCTTAAAAGTCCATCAGAGAAGACACAATAATGAGAGGACTTTCATTTGTGCCGTGTGTAACAAAGGCTTTGTCCAGGCCTCGGATCTACACGTGCATCAGAAGATTCATACAGAAGAGAAGCCTTTCAGGTGCAGTACCTGTGCCTGGTCCTTCACCCACAGAACCAACCTTCTGGCTCATGAGAGAATCCACACGGGAGAGAAGCCCTACGTGTGTTCTGTGTGCCAGAGATGCTTCCGCCAGTCATCCACCTACCACCGCCACCTGAGGATGCACCAGAGAACGATCTTCAGATGTGTTTCCTCCACATTCGAAGCTTCCTCTGGATAGTGCATATGAATATGCCTGCGAGTATGTATATTTCCATAGTACTTCTCTATTTAGAACATATTCTCTAACTTCTCAATCATATCTTCCATTCATTATCTCCCCCTCTAAAATGTAAGTTTAAGGAGGGAAGGGAATTTCTGTTTTGTTCAGCAAAATGTCTCGGGTGCCTACAGAGTGGCTGACACGTTTTAAATGACCAATAAATACCTGTAGAGTGAATGAAAGTATAATGTTTGCATTGTTTACTTTTTAAAATCCAGGAAGGTGTCCCCTGTGAAAAGACAGTGAGCTCCAATACCAGGATACGAACTCTGCCTGCTACCCAGTCCTCTGTCCACACACTTTATTTTCATGGATCCACAGGCACCTAAAACCGTGGGGAGGGGAGGTGGGAACTTGGGGATAGGCCTTGGCCCATGAAAAGGAATCAATATATTTAAATGATATAATAATTTCTTTCATCCACTGGAAATATCAATAGCTAAATGCAATATGAATATGACTGGACTGGAAGTTGCAGAATGCTATTTTATGAACAGATACCATAAAACTCCAGTGTTTTCCATCCATATGTTTCAAAGATGACAAGTATGGTGGGGGGAGGTGAAGGAGCTTATTTGCCCAACTAGTTTGAAGAGGCAGTTTAGAGAAAAAAAGGATTCTGTGCAGCCTGGAGGCAAAAGCACATGTGCTGGTTATTCGGGATCCGTTTGCAAACTGGTGTCCACTAGGAACTGGGGCTCCATCCCACCGAGAAACTGAAAGGTGCCATGAAGAAATGGCTTGAATCATGGAAGAGAGCAATGTGCCAGGTAAATTGGGACATTTCCCTGTTTTCATCTATGCATTCATAGAAGGGAGGACTATTGGGTTGCAGATAAGGCCGTAGTGTGTGGAGAAGCTGCCTGCCTTCTGGAGCTGTATCCAAGAGTTTTATTCTTTTTAAAAAAAAAAAATTATGAAATTTATTGGGATTACGTTGGTTAATGAAATTATATAGATTTTAGCCCTGGCTGGTGTAGCTCATTGGATTGAGCGTGGGCCTGAGAACCAAAGGATTGAGGTTCCATTCCCAGTCGGGGCACATGCCTGGGTTGCAGGCCAGTTCCCAGCAGGGGATGCATGAGAGGCAACCATACATTAATGTTTCTCTCCCTCTCTCCCATTCCCCTCTAAAGATAAGTAAATAAAATCTTAAAAAAAAAACCCTCCAGATCCATCCATGCTGTCTCAAAATATAACATTTCCTTATTTTTATGACATAGTAGTATTCCATTGTGTAAATGTACCCCTGCTTTTTTATGTTCATTGATTTTAGAGGGAGAGGAAGGGAAAGGGAGAAGCATTGATCAGTTGCTTCCCATACCCTCCCTCAACGAGGACTGAACACATAACCTAGGTATGGGACCAAGGACTGATTCCCATAACCGGGAATCAAACTCCCAACCTTTCAATGTAGGTAACTTCACTCCAGCCAACTGAGCGACGCTGGCCAGGGTGTACACTGCTTTTTGATCCATTCATCTACCGATGGGCTCTTGGGATACTTCTAAATCTTGGCTATTGTAAATAATACTGCAATGAACATAGGGATGCACATTTTTTTTAATTAGTGTTTCAAGTTTCTCCAAATATATTCCAGAAGTGGAGTCACTGGGTCATAAGGCAGTTGCATTTTTAATTTTTTGAGGTAATTCCATACTGCTTTCCACAGTGGCTGCACCAGTCTGCATTCCCATCAACAGTGGACAATGGCTCCCTTTTCTCCACATCCTCACCAGGAGTAGTTTGTTGATTGATTGATAGCCATTCTGGCACATGTGAAGTGATATCTCAGTGTGGTTTAATTTTCATTTGTATATTTACTGACTGAACATTTTTTCAGATGCATGTTGGTCTACCGTATTTCTTTTTTTAAAAAATATATTTTATTGATTATGCCATTACAGTTCTATTCCCCCCTTCATTCCCCTCCACCCTATACACCCCCTCCCCCACCATTACCCCCCCTTTAGTTTATGACCACGTGTCTCAAGTTCTTTAGATTCTATATTTCCCCTACTATTCTTGCCCTCCCCTCTATTTTCTACCTACCATTTATGCTACTTATTTTCTGTACCTTCCCCCCCTTCTCCTCCTCCCACTCCCCTGTTGCTAACTCTCCTTGAGATCTTCATTTCTATGTTTCTGCTCCTGATCTAGCTGTCCTTTTAGTTTGCTTTTGTTTTAGGTGTGGTTGTTAATAACTGTGCCTTTACTGTCCTTTCACTGTTTATCTTTTTTTTTTAACTTCTTTTACTTAGATAAGTCCCTTTAACATTTCATATAATAAGGGCTTGGTGATGATGAACTCCTTGAATTTGATCTTATCTGGGAAGCACTTTATCTGTCCTTCCATTCTAAATGAAAGCTTTGCTGGATAGAGCAATCTTGGTTGTAGGTCTTTGGATTTCATGACTTGGAATACTTCTTTCCAGCTCCTTCTTGCCTGTAAGGTCTCTTTTGAGAAATCCGCTGACAGTCTGATGGGAACTCCTTTGTAGGTGACAGTCCCCTTATCTCTTGCTGCTTCTAGGATTCTCTCCTTCATTTTAATTTTGGCTAATGTAATTATGTGCCTTGGTGTGTTCCTTCTTGGGTCCAACTTGTTTGGGACTCTCTGTGCTTCCTGGATTTCCTGGAAGTCTATTTCCTTTGCCAGATTGGGGAAATTCTCCTTTATTATTTGTTCAAATAAGGTTTCCACTCGTGGCTGTTCCTCTTCCCCTTCTGGTACCCCTATAATTCAGATGTTGGAACGTTTAAAGATGTCCTGAAGGTTCCTAAGCCTCTCCTCATTTTTTTGAATTCTTGTTTCTTCATCCTTTTCTGTTTGGTCATTTTTTTCCTCTTTCTGGTCCACTCCTTTGATTTGAGTCCCAGTTTTCTTTCCATTACTATTTTTTTCCTGTGCATTTCCCTTCATTTCAATTAGGTTAGCCTTCATATGTCCCTCTAATTTGTGACTAAAATCAACCAGTTCTGTGAGCATCCTGATCCACCAGTGTTTTGAACTGTGAATCTGAAAGTTTGGCTATTTCTTCATCACTTAGATTTATTGGCTCTGGGGCTCTGAGTTGTTCTTGAACCATGTTTTGATCTATTCGTGCCTGTTACGTGTATGAGGAGGGGCGCCTTAGGTGTTCACCAGGGCGGGGCCACCCAGGTTACTGGTTGGTGACACTGTATGTGGGGGCGGGGTCAGAGAGGGACAATGGCAGTCCCCTCTGCCTCTTCCTGCCACTGGGGCCTGCACAGTCTGTCTCACCGCTCGCTCCATTACTGGTTTATCTGTGCGAGAATGTGTGACTGTGGTCAGCTGTCAGTGAGTCCACCGCCCTGTGCCCTCAGTGGGTCTGCCCACTTCTCCACACCTGGGATCTGCCCATGGCTGCTGGTATGCCTGGGTTGCATGCCCGCCTGGGTTGCGTGCCCGGTCAGTCCGGTGGATCTTTCCTGCCCAACCCCGCTCTGCTGCTGGCTCTGCCCCTCTTACTGGTTTGGCTGAAGGGTTCATTGTTGTCAGACTTCTGTATAGTTCAATTTTCTGTGCTTTGGCTGCATTTTTGTTGCTAAGACTTTGTTGTTTTTAAACTTGGTTGTGTGAGAAGACACAGTGCTTCCACCTATGCCTCCATCTTGGCAGAAGTCCGTATTTCTAAAATTAATAAATATAAGTTAAATATAAATATAACTTAAAAAAGAATCAATAAATAGAAATTCAATATAAATATGTATTTTTTAAAAGAATCATGCCCTGGCTGGTGTAGCTCAGTGGATTGAGCATGGGCCTGTGAAACAAAGGGTTGCCAGTTCAATTCCCAGTCAGGGCACATGCCTTGGTTGCAGGCCAGGTCCCCTCTCTCTAAAAATAAATAAATAAAATATTTTTAAAAAATCACAATACCAAGATTAGGCTCAGTCTAACTCAGATTTCAGTGTCTCTTCATAAAAATTATCTGAAGTCTTAACTCTTTTCCCTATCCATTGAGGTGTCCTCAGAGCAATTTATACCACTGTCATTGAATAACTACACAATCATTATTAATAGCTCTCTGTAAATCATATTCAAAAACATTTTTACTAATCCTCACCCAGGGATATGTTTATAGAGAGTCTGGAAGTAGTAATACTATTGAGTGTGGTCAGTAGAGTACATGAATGTCTCACACAAGATGGACAGCAATTTGAACATTTTACCTAAAATGTCATGTGGCAATTGAGTATGATATTGTTATGTTACAGAATGACATACATATGGTGACATTGTAATAAAAGATTTTTATGTAATGAAAAGGGTGTTATTCATGCTGGACCCTGTAGATTTTAGAAAGAGAGGGAAAGGGGGGAGAAAGTGGGAAAAGAAGAGACAGAAACATTGATTGGTTGCCTCCATTACCCACCTGGCTGGGGATCTAAGGCCCAACCTAGAATTTGTGCCATGAATGGGAATCCAACCCACAATATATTTTGGTGCACAGGACTGTGCTCTATCCAACCAAGCAACCTGTCCAGAGCTCACGTGTTTTCTGATGTATCAATTCCATCCTTGACACTTTGCCGACTTGTCATTTCATCTGTAACTTCCCAGCTCCTGGCTACCTACACGTTTGTAGCCTCCCTGCATCACCCATTTCTCTGCATTGCTCCCTCTGCAGTATTCTCCACCATTGACTTACTCGTGGGTTATGAGGTGTGCATACATCCTTAAGTAGTTCTCAAATACCAGCTATTCATTTCTTGAACTTTACTGGGCAAAGAACATGACTAAGCTCCAGTACATCTTGCCGATGTCACCATCAGACAAGCCTTGCGGAACACCATTAGCAGAAGATGAGCTGGAGATCCTGCTTCTTTTCCATGTGACGCTTACCATCTTTGTGTCCATTTTCTGGTGAGGTCTCTCCTACTTTGTGATCTTAGAGGTTCAACTGCACAGCAACACCTTATTCAACCTGCCTCCAGGTCCCTTACTTTCAGCCAATCCCATGGAATTGACATATTATGCCTGACACACCTTTGTAATAGA